TTCTTTGAAAAACACTTCATTCAAGAAAATGAGACGATTTTTGACGACAACTAAATTGACCCGAAATAAGACATCAGTTCTTTCGCCGAAGAATCTAAACGACGAGTTGGAGTCCAACGAAAAACTTAAACATAGAGAGGCAGAGCTGATCCGGCCGTCCATATCGTCGCCACAGATCGTAGACACCAAACACTGGACACCGAAGAAGCGCATTGTTTCGACACCCGTTGTCACCAATAGTGCGTCCAATAGTCGCATGTTTTGTCGCCAATCGTCGCGGCTATGGATCGAAAGCATACCTCAAGAAGTGGTGACAAAATTCAAAGAGTCGTTCTCTACATATGAGTACAAACGACAGGAAGCCATATATGAGTTGATGGCCGGAGAAGTGGATATGTGTCACGACTTGGGCCTCATTGAAGCCACTTATCAGAACTCATTGATTCATTTGGGTTTCATCGACGAGTCGGAAGCGTTTCAGATATTTGGCGATTTGCATGCTTTGCATTCCGTGCACTCGACTCTCGCGCAGCTCTTGGAGGCCATGCGGGACCACAACGGCGTCTTTGGTTCTGTCGGCAAAATACTGATGGATTGGACGCCACGACTCGATGTCTATGAGAGCTATTGTTCAAATCAAAGGACAGCTAAAGAGTTGCTCGAAATGAAGATTAAAAGTGATAAACGGATGAATGATTTCCTCCAACGGTGTCTTCAGTCGCCATTCAGTCGGCGCCTGGATTTGTGGGCGTTTCTGGACGTTCCGCGCAATCGTTTGGTCAAATATCCGCTTCTTCTCCGGTCTATAAAGAAGTATTCGTCGGAAAACAGTTTTGACTACAAAGCGCTCGAATGTGCCATCAGTTTAATGGAGAAAATCATATCTCGAGTGGACTTTCGTATGGGTGAAGAAGAATGCAAAGTATTTGTCCACAAAATGGATTTCGACCGCAACTGCGAGACAAACGACTGTCTGCTGGACGCGAAGGCCATCATCTGCAGCGGCACTCTTCGCAACTCTCGCGGCACAAAACTGTTGTGCATTTTGTTTGACACGGCGTTCGCGTTGACCAGACATAACGATTCCGGTGCTTTCGTACTCTACAGACAACCCATACTTATCAGCGAATTGGCCTACGATTCGGGCAATCAGGTCAAGTGCGGCAACACTTTGAACCGTACGCTCAACGTTAATGACTACAACAAAGTCTTCATGTTTAGAGTGTACTCAACGTTACGCGACATTACATTCACACTTCACGCCAAAGACGCCAATAATCTGAAACTTTGGATCAATAAACTGACGCAAGTGGTGGACAAGTATGCCATACAACACATCACTAAGAATCCTACCATTCCTAAGATCATGTCTAAAACCCAATGTCTCAAAGACCACAACCATAAGGCCGTCCGACAGCAGCTCCTTCTCACCCCTAAGGAGGAGTCGCCGCGAAAGAAGTTTAAATATAGTAATGAAAATATTGTGAACGAATGCTATGTCTAATGGATCGGCACTTTTGTATATCGGATCAAAACACAAGAATATGCCTTAAATTTTTAATTTATACACAATTTGTACAACAATTATGAATTATATTCGTTTATTTCGTATAGAATATACAGATTATGGTTTAAAATACTTTATGAATTGTTTTATGCGTTCAATGATGTGGTCGTCAAACAGAAAAACAATTATAATTATTATCTCTAAAATTATTTTATCATTTAATGTCAAATACAATACTATTTTTATATTTTTTTGTTTAAAATTTATATAAAATCTCTGTTTTTCGTGGTTTTTGAAGAAATTAATATAAAAAGATGTGATTTTTTGTTTAAAACGAAATTAATAACGGATTAAAACACTTTCAATATATTTATATATTTACTAATTGTGGTCATCAATCAATTAGACTGTTGTTCAATGAGTGCAATGATCTGTTGCGGTGATAGTCTTTGCATAGTGTGGAGACCTTTGATGGGCGGCGACTCGCGGACCGATTTGGTGATGGAGTCGCGCAAGTGTTTCCAATTATGCAGTTTATTCATATACAGGTGTAGTCTATCCTCACTCCTCAGGTGTGAGTACACACGACACAGACCTCTGTAATCGTATTCGAGGCCACTATAGCCGACGCCAAACAGTTTGATGCCTATACTAATGGATCGTAAATAGAGTTTCTCCGCCTTTTCGTAGGACTGCATGTCGTAGTTGTAAAGCGACGCCAAATGGCCTAAAGAAAGGGCCACTTCGTAGTCCTCGGGACCCAACAGTTTCTCTTTGATACGAATGGCCTTCAAGTGCATCGACTCGGCGTCGTTGTAGCGCTTCATCGACTGGTATAGTCGGCCCAGATTTCCGTAATGTTTGGCCGTTTGTACATTGGTTTCGCCAAACGCTTTGCGGGCCATCTCGAGGGCCGACAGATGGAGTTCACGCGCTTGAATCAGCATTCGTTGCTCCTCGTCCTTGTCGTGATGGTCGATAGCTATCTCTTCTAATATCAACGCCTTTACTCTTTTGGCCGAAGCCAGCAGTAGGTGTTCGATGGGAACTAATTGGGTGACAATAGACATGGCTTTGTTGGCGTGAAAGCTAGCGTTCAAAAAATTGCCAGAACTGTACTCATGAACATACGAGGCGTAACCCAATTCTTCGTGAGTGATTGCGATCAACAGATTCGTAACGCTGTTGTCATTCATACCGAAGATATATTCGCGGATTTCGAGCGCCATTTCGTAGAGTTTGACCGAATGGCTGATGAGATCCACATTCAACAGATAGAAGCCGTAGTCGAGGAAAACGTCGGCCAGTTTTAGATGTATAACACCAATGGTGTACTTGTTCTGGTCTTCGGTCACACCGAACGTGTCTTTGCATAAAATCATGGCCTGATTGATGAGAGTCTCGGCCCGTTTGAACTCTCGCTTCACGACCGCAGTCTTGGCCGCCTGTCTGTAGACATCGATGACAGTGAGAATGGGAGTGACGGGTGAGAGGAGTTGTATGGCCTGAATGGCCCACTTATACGACTCGTTGTAATAACTCTGGAAGAAGAATAGCTGTGCGAACTCGCCGTACACTTGAGGCAAATTGTATTGATTCGTTTGGCAAGTGATGCCGTACTCGTCGATCATGTCCTGGATTTGTCTCATTTGGTTCATCGCTTCGTCGAAATAGCAAAACGAGTTCAAAACCGAAAGCAGTTTCCAATTGCACTCAAACACCACTTTGAGGGCATTCTCGTTGCTCTTCAGCTCCTCTTTACTGTACAGATCTATGGCCTGTTTGAACACCTCTTTACTCAAGTCATACCATCCGCTCTCCTTCAGGAAAGTGCCAAAACACAGACCAAACTTGGCTGCCGTCCACTTGTCCACAGACGGCCCGTTCAGACACCTCTGATCACCGCTTCGGACGCTGTGGTAGCCGTTCTGTTGACACAACACCTTGTATTTGGTCACAATCTTCTGCCCGATCTGCAGATCAAAGTCCATAAGACTCTGAAACATGTAATGCATTGAATTCCTCTTCTCCTTCAACTCAACCAAAAATCGGAAAATAATATCCAAATCAATGAAATAGTTCTCCAAATAGTAATAATTGCCATTCAATGACATGTGATATAACACATCAAACAAGACATTAGTCGGCAAACACTTCAATGAATTGGACTCATAGACAATGAAATCAATTTTGGACACAATTGAGACACACATCTCGTATAGCTTTTTGGTCGACATTTCTAACAATCTCTTGTAAATCACCACTTATTACACAATATATATAACTATTATTGTAATTATTATCACTAATTATGAGTTCAATTGTAGACTAATTGACGGCAAAAATCATAGACACAAACAAATCGCAAAATATATGCAAAAAGTGATTAAATAAATGAGATATCGATTGAAACTAATGTGTTATATATGACGACAACAGCTGTTTTTGTCCGCAAATTCACTAACCATTTACTGATGGCTCAAAATAGGGCTCAAAACCAGTTTAATCGTGGGTTCAATTGTCCGCCACTTTGTGGACAACGATTTACGGCAAACATTCAAATCCAATACTCAATCGTCTAATGATTGGAAACACAAATGATTCACACAATTATCAAATGACTTGAAATACATAAGCATTTGATGTGTTATTGATTTGAGTGTTGAATGAATTGTTGTGTTTTGTGTCTCTCATAGGCGTGACGTCATTGGGAGCACAGGTTTGCCATAAATGCCATCATTACGGAAGGCATACACTGTTGGGCTAACCCTATATTGCATAACATGTTTATAGCACTCAATTCACGCACTCTTGTTGTGTTGTGTGTGAGATAGGGCTCAGGGCTTATCCACTGCCACCTCTTCTTCCTTCTCGAGGATCACAATTAGTGGCTAAACATAATTGCAATACATTTATGAGACACTCGTCTCAATGTATAACACAATTATAAGTTATAATTCCTAACACAAAACGTGTGTATTTTGTTTGAGACAAAAGCGTATGTCATTTATCACGAGTTAAAGACCAGTCGTGTCAGTCATAGGACTCCGCACTGTATTTAAATACCCAATGGTTTTGTTTGCGACA